TCCCAGACTCACACAGCCAGGAAGTATTTGAGGCCAGATTTGAACTCAGGAAGATGAGTTTTCCTGATTCCAGTGCCAGTACTCTATCCACTGAGCCACCTAGCTGCCCCTTGAACTGTATCTTAAATAAAGGAAGGGACTTTAAGAGGATGAAGTAAGGAAGGAATGCATTCCAGGCAGGGGGGACAACTTTATCAGACTCAGCTGATATATAGATTAGTTCCATAAATAGATTTTTTTTCCCTTTTTCATTCGTTGTTACAAAGTATGACTCTCAAGGTAGGGGTAGGTGTGGGTGGGAAGATTTGTTCAGAAATGAAGTCGATATAAAAACAAAAGATATGACTAAAAATTGAATAAACCGAGATGATGTAGTGTGCTGTAAAACGTAATTTGCAAGCGCCTACTTGATTCCTTTTTAAGCTTTTATTGATTATATTCTTGATGTGTGTGTAGATTATCATCACAAAGATTTTGTATTGGGGGCGAAGCCAAGATGGCAGAGTGAAAGCAGTGACTTGCTTGAGCTCTCCCCCAAACCCCTCCAACTACCTATAAAAAATGGCTCTAAACAAATTCTAAAGCAGCAGAACCCACAAAAAGACAGAGTGAAGCAAATTTCCAGCCTAAGACAATCTGGATGATTGATCAGAAAGGTATATTGTGCAATGTGGGAAGAGGAGCACAGTGCGATGTGGAGGTGCAGGCCACAGCTGACCTGGAGCAGGCCTCAGAGGACTGAACCGTGGGCAGCTGTGGTGGTTTCCAGACTTTTCAACCCACAAATGCCAAAGACAGCTTAGAAGGTCAGTGGGAGAAGTCTGTTTCTGCAGTAATGAGAGAGAAGTGCTGGGTCTCAGCTCCATTCCCCGAATGCAGCCCAAGGTGGGGGCTACCTCTTGAGCTTCTGGCCCACAGACTGAGGGGGAATCCAATGGCTGATCAGAGGGGGGATTGCAGGGTTCTCTTTGCCAGTAATGAGGCAGAAATCTCTTGCTTTGCCCATGCTTGGATCTAGGTCACAGTTCTGGGCAGCGGTCCTGGGCCAAGGAAGAGTGCTGGCGGGTGGTAGAGCTTGTAGTGGCTGTGAAGAGAAAACCTTCCTCACAGTTCCAGGACAGAAAGGAGTGCTTGTGGTCACTAATAGACCAGAGCACAGGCCAGGAAAGGAGTAACCACCTCGCCCCTTATCATACCACTTTGCAAGAACTGAAAATTTACAGGTCCCTACAAGTATCTCTGAAAATAGCTGTATAAACCCCCGAAGCTTGGGACAGTACATTCTCCACATTGGAAGCAGATTTGTACCTTAACAAAGAGTTTAAAACTCAAGTAATTGGCCGGGATCATGAGCAAGCAGCGCAAAAAGAGTCAGGCTATATTATCTTACTTTGGTGACAAAGAAGATGAAAACATACAACCTGAAGAAGACAACAAAGTCAAAGCTCCTACATCCAAAGCCTCCAAGAAAAATATGAATCAGTCCCAGGCCTTGGAAGAGCTCAAAAGGGATTTTGAGAAGCAAGAGAAGGAGAGGAAAAACTGGGAAGAGAAATGAGAGTGATGCAAGAAAATCATGAAAAACAAGTCAACAGCTTGCTAAAGGAGACCCCCAAAAAATACTGAAGAAAGTAACACCTTAAAAAATAGCCTAACCCAAATGGCAAAAGAGGTCCAAAAAGCCAATGAGGAGAAGAATGCCCTAAAAAGAAAAATTGGCCAAATGGAAAAGGAAGTCCAAAAGATTACTGAAGAAAATACTTCCTTAAAAATTAGAATAGAGCAATTGGAAGACAGTGACTTTATGAGAAATCAAGACACTGTAAAACAAATCCAAAAGAATGAAAAAATAGAAGACAATATGAAATATCTCATTGGAAAAACAACTGACCTGGAAAATAGATCCAGGAGAGAGAATTTAAAAATTATTGGACTATCTGAAATCCATGATCAAAAAAAGAGCCTAGACATCATCTTTCAAGGAATTATCAAGGAAAACTGCTCTGATATTTTAGAACCAGAGAGCAAAACAGAAATCGAAAGAATCCACAATCTCCTCCTGAAAGAGATCCCCAAAGGAAAACTCCTAGGAATATTGTAGCCAAATTCCAGAGTTCCCAGGTCAAGGAGGAAATATTACAAGCTGCCAGAAAGAAACCATTCAAGTACTGTGGAAACACAATCAGGATAACACAAGACTTAGCAGCTTCTACATTAAAGGACCACAGGGCATGGAATATAATATTCCAGAGGGCAAAGGAGATAGGATGACAACCAAGAATCACCTACCCAGCAAAACTGAGTATAATCCTTCAGGGGAAAAAACTGTCATTTAGTGGAACAGAAGACTTTCAAGCATTCTTGATGAAAAGACCAGAGCTGAATAGAAAATTTGACTTTCAAATACAAGACTCAGGTGGAACATGAAGAGGTAAACAGGAAAGAGGAATCATAAGAGATTTATTAAGGTTGAACTGTTTACATTCCTGCATGGAAAGATGATATTTATAACTCATGAGACCTTTGTCAGTATTAGGGTAGTTGGAGGGGAAAAAATTATACGCACATATATAGATAGAGAGCACAGGGTGAGTTGAAGATTAAAGGGTCATATCTGGAGAATAAAATTAAGGGATGAGAGAGGATTATACTAGGAGAAGAAGAAAGGGAGAAGTAGAATGGAGTAAATTATCTCAAAAACAAACAACAGAAAAGAAAAAGCTCTATAGTGGAGGGGAAACGGGGGAAGGTGAGAGGGAATGAGAGTAATCTTATTCTGTTAGGATTTGGCTTAGGGAGGGAATAACATACACATTCAGTTGGGTATGGAAATCTATCTTTCCCTACAGGAGAATGGGGGGGGGAAGGGGAGAAGAGAGCAGGGGGATGATAGAGAGGAGGGCAGATTGGGAAAGGGGGTAACCAGAAGCAAATACTTCTGAGGAGGGACAGGGTCAAAAGAAAGAACAGAATAAATGGGGGGCAGGATAGGATGAAGGGAAATAGAGTTAGTTTTTTACAACATTGTCTACTATGGAAGTGTTTTGCATAACTGCACATGTATAACTTATATTGAGTTGCTTGCCTGTTCAAAGAGGACGGTTGGGGAGGGAGGAAGGGAGAAAATTTGGAACCTAAAGTTTTAAAAACACATGCTTAAAAAAATGTTTTCACATGCAACTGTGAAATAGGAAATACAGGAAATGGGGTACAGAAGTCTATCCTGCCCTACAGGAAAATAGAAGGGGAAGGGGATAAGAGAAAGGTGGGGAAGAGAAGGGCATACTAGGCAAAGGGGTATTCAGAATGTGTGCCATCTTGAGGTGGGGGGAGGGTTGAGATGGGGAGAAAATTTGGGACTCAAACCTTGTGGAAGTAAATGTTGAAAACTAAAAATAAATAAATTTATATTAAATACAAAATAAAATACTAAAAAAAATTTGTGTCAGTGAGAAACTAACCACGTTGCTCACTAGTTATTGATGTCTTCTCGGTTTCCCTTTTTTCAGCAATAAGATACATGATTTTTTTCCCCAAGAGTTTAGTACGGATGCCTCAGCATCCTCAAAATTGTGTCACCTACAGAACAAACCTCTGCTGTATATTCTTGGTCTACTCCAGCTGTTCTTTTGGTTTTGGCTTTTTTACTGCCACTTTTTATTTTCTCATTTGCATAGAAGGCAGTGATGTTAGAATTTGACATTGTTATAGAAATGCTTATGGATTTCTTATTTTTCTTCTGGTCATTATCTTTCTGGTTTTGTAAAGTCTTTAAGATGACTGGTTTCCTTGGGTCTCTTCTGTGTTTTGTGCAAAGTAGTTTTTCACTCCAATGCTTCTCTTCAATCCTAAATGTAGGTTTGAAATAAGATTGTCTTGTGTTGCCCTCTATTGCAACTGGGGCCATGGAAACATGAAACAGTAAAAAGACTGCTATATTTAGAGTCAGTGGTCCTGGGTTTGAATCCTAGCTCAACCTATGTGAACTCTGACAAATCTCTAAACCTTCCCAGGGTCTCAGTTTCTTCATCTGTAAAATGTGGAGTTTAGATTAGCTGGTATCTGAGAGTCCTTTCAGTTCTAAATACATGATACAGCTTGGTGGCACGCATTAAGGAAGGTTAAGGGATCCCCTGAATTTGTCTTTTTTGAGTTGCCATATATTCCAGAAACACTGGACCTGAAATATACAGGAGGCCCATCATTTTTGTTTGCATACCAAACTGGACTCGCTGTGTGCCCTTGGGAGTTAAGGCGGGGATCCGTTAGTCTGCTCTAGGCTGAGAATCTGCTTGTGCAGCTGGGACCCTGCAGATAAGCAGACCATCCTATTTTCTGTCCAGAAGTTCCGAAAGGAAAACCCCTTCAAGAGGGGTTTTGTCCTTTTCCCACCTTTACTTCACCTTTCCCCTCCCATACCACACCCCTTTAGGCGGAGATATCCGGTACCTCCTACTTCCTGCCCTACTGTTATAAAGATGCAAACTTCTGTAATGCAAAAATTTTTACGAACTGTCTTTCCTTTGTACCTCGGCAGAAACTTTTATCTTATGGCTTCCAAGGTGCTCACAGACAGACAGACTGCAGAAGCAGGCATGAGAATCTGTCTTCTACTTAAGCCAGACATTAAACAGTTTTGCAAAAATGGGCTGAATTGCCACTTGTCTCTAATTTTGTTTTGGAAAATAGTTATTTTTTAATAAAATTATGTTTTTTACAGGAAACCTTTTCCAACCCATTTTAATTCTAGTGTCTTCCCTCTGTTCATCTTTTTTTTTTATCTTGTGCTTTTTAGATAACTGTTGGCATGTTGTTTTCCTATTAGATTGTAAGCTCCTTGAAGGCAGGGGCTGTCTTTTGCCTCCTTTTGTATCCCCAGTGTTTAGCACAGTGTCTACCACATACTTGGTATTTATTAAACATTTATCGATTATATAATGATATTACACATTACAGTGTGTAATAGAGACCACCTACCCAAATAAAAACTCAGAGGTATCTCCAGGTAGAAAACAGAAGGTTTTATTTTAACAAGTCTCACACAAGAGTTGGGCATCTCCTACCCAGGGCAGACTGGTGTAGAGAGGTGAAGCACAAACAGCAAGCAGTTACATAGTCTTAGACAAAGCATGCCAAAAAGCCCCCCTCCCCACCTGTTTGTCTCAATCTCTTTATCCTCATTGGCTGAGGCAAGAGACCTTGCAGTCTATATTCAGAACCCAAGAGATACATTTTACTCAAAACTAGCTTGGGAGCTAGAGGATTGCCTTATGTGGTAAAGTTAAAGCACAAAACAACAGAGAGGGTGGTCAAAAAACAAGGGAGGGGGGTGGGCAGCTGGTGCACAACCCCCTTCCCCAGAAATGAAAGTGAAACTTAGGCCCAGCTCATACTGAAGCCTTACAACATTTATGGAGCATAGCTTACATCTTACACGAGAAACTTTCACTGGTCTCATACAACAGTATTATATTTGTTGTTGTTCAGATGCGTCCAACTCTATGTAACGCCATGGACTTCTGTCAATGAGGTCTCCTTGCCAAAGATATTGAAGTGGTTTGCCATTTCCTTTTCCAGTGTGTCTCCTTTATACAAATGAGGAAGTGAGGTTAAATAAGGGTTAAGTGACTTGCCCAGGATCACATAGGTAGTAGGTGTATGAGGCTGAAATCGAACTCACATCTTCCTGATTCTAGGCCTGGTGCTCAATCCACTTCACCACCTAACTACACACACACACAATGTTATTTATAAATATATGATTAATATATAATTATATAAGTGTTGATTGATTGATGCTATCATAATGGGTTTGTTTTTATTTTAATAATAAATTTATAAACATTTAACATTTTTTATCAGTTTAAATGTCTAAAGTGGTAAATATCGATAGATACAAGCCACATAAACAAACATTTTGGGGGAATCCTAGATAATAAACGGGTCTTGGGACCAAAAAGGCTGTACTTACGGTGTCTAATTTCAGGCGTGACTGTGAGGGGCAGGCCCGGTTTACGTAATATAGCTCTAGGAACCACAGCAAAAGCTTTCCTCGCCCCGTCCTTTCCTGCTTTTTCATTCATTACGAGCATTACTCAGGTTGAGTCAGCTGACTCCCGTGGGAGGCTGAGTTAATTACAATGGAGGCGCGCAGGCGGAAGAAAAGGCGAAGCACGTGCACCGTGGAGCTTCTTGGCTCCTCTCCCGTCCCGTACTCCGCGCGCCCACTGCGACTGCGCCGCTGTCCGTCTATAAAAGCGCCGCCGCCTGCGGCTTCCCGGAGTTGTGTTTGCTTCATCTCTGCCTCTGGTCGTGTTTTCCTGTCCCCCTGGAGTCTCAGCGAACCTGCAGCTGCGGCCGCCGTCAAGATGGCGTCCACCAGCCGGTTAGTAAGTCCTACCGAGACCGGCCGGGAGCGAGTCCTCGGTGGGGCAGCTTCCAGGGGCGTCGTGGCGGCGTCGTGGGGGAAACGAGGCCGAGGAGGCGGGGTTGGACAAAGGCGCTTTCGGGGGGTCGCGGGGGCTTCTTTCTGTTCCCCCGCCCCGGGGCTTTCCTCCGGCGCTTCCTCTTTCTGTCGCCCCGGCCTCCGTCCCGGGCTCAGCCCAGGCCGCCGGGGCGGCTTCGCCTTCGGCCTCTGAAAACAAATCTTTCTGCCAAAAATCTGTTGGGGCGATTTGGGGAAGTCCCTCGGTGGGGGTAGGGGACCTTCCTCCGGGCCGGCTGCCCTTGCACCAGGGCGCGGGTCTCTCGGGTGGGTGCAGACCACAGCCAACCCTCCCTTCCCGGGAAGATGTTCTTAGGGCCTCTTACCCGAAGTCGAAACTGAGTCATGCGGCTGTTGACTTTCCCACTGGGAGACACACCTACTCGTAGCTTTCCTCCCGCCGTCATGACACTGTGCCCATGTACCCCGTGCACCCCCGTGGGGTCTGTCCGGCAGCCTCCTGCATCTCCAGGGTGGCCTCTAATTCTGAGCGTTCCCAATGAAACTACTTCTGGAAGCTCTCGGGCCCTTCCCGAGCGCTGACCTGGATAAACGATTGGAGAACCATCATCTGGCTGCCTGATTGCTGGCCCGGATGGCAGTAATTTGGGTGGCCCCGACGCCTTTGTTTACAGTCTGCCGAGGATGCTTTGGGTGACCACTACTTTCATCATCGAAGTGGGTGTGGCTGTTAGGTTGAGGGTGTGGAGGGAAGCACTTGACAGTCCAATCTGCCTAATGCCTTTAGCGCCTTCCCTATTGCAGAGTTTCAGTTGTTCACACGGCCACTCAGCACTTAATTAAAAAAAATCTCTTGACCATAGATATTTAAATATATTTCATAATCATCAATGATATTTAGGGCAGAAATTTGTTGAAAATATGTTGGAATATGCTAGGGATTGCCCTGCGAATCAGAGAATGTGTTAAATCACTATTCAGGGCTGTGTTTGCAGTTTGTGGATTAAGGACTTTTTCTTTTCTTCTCCTAATCGATTTCTCCTGAATTAGTACCTTCATCAAAGAAAGGAGCTACAAGGAAAGACTGGGAAACCCTAATCTGTTAATGTTACTTCTTTAAGCTGTTGAGTTTTTGAAAGAGCTATGGTCCCCGTCAAAAAAAGAAAGTTATATTTTCACATTCAACTTCGGCGATGAGTAGAAGCCTGTGCTATGCACTTTTAAAGAGTTTAGATAAGACATAGGCCCTGCCTTCATGGAGTTGGATACAGCCTGGAACCCAAAACAGAGTTTGTAATTAGCTTTAGAGGGGCCATTTGCTTCCTGTTTCCCTTTACCGTAGAATCCTCTATCTTGGATTCTCTTTCTCCCTTCATCTTCTTCCTTCTCCAATATCTTTTGATGGTGGTGTAATTGTTTTTTTTTTTTTTAATGCTTTCATGTTCGTTTTAGGTATTTATAGGTCAGGGAGATTTTCATGTTTTATTGGTGGTAAGGGAAGAGAATGGAGTAGAAAGCTTAATAGTATACCTCAAGGAAATTTAAGTTTTGCAGGAATAATTGGAATCATCTTTATATGTTATCATATCGATGCAAAATTGCATTATGATATAGTGCAGAGAGCAATGATGTGGGAGTCAAGAAATCTCAGTCAAGTTACTAAGCCTCACCAGACCTCAGTTTCCTCATCTGTAAGTTAAGATGTCTGACTAAATGATCCTCTAGTTCACCTTCCAGTGAAAGGTCTATGAAACTTTGAAAATTTAACTGCTCCTCTGTTAAGCTTTAACCTGAGTTGGTATGTCCATTCTTTGAGAATAAAAATCCTGAAACCAGACCTATAATAGTCAAGCTACTTGATGCTATAGCCTGTGAAAATCTTTAGTTACCTCAAATAACGTACTTGGAGAACCAGGATACTTAGCATTAGCCCTAAGAATTGGATTATGGGAGTTTTTCATTCAATGGGATATTGATTGTTGAGGAAACATTTTTTATATCTGTCCTAAAGTGGATTTATGAATGGAATAGAAGTGATAAGTGAGACAATATTAATTGGATCTTAAGAGGGTGAGGAAGGCAGCTTTTAAAACATGATGAATGCTTATGCCTTTCTGATTTAACTGATTCATGTTCTGCCTTTAACAAATCTTAAGGCTAAAAGGTTCAACTTTAACCAGCAACTAGTGTGTACACAAATATTTGATTACACATAAGCAACATTACTAGAGTAAGTAACAAGTACCAAAATTAACAGAGTAGAGCTTTTCTTTTTTTTTGACAACAAGGGAATCAACCAGTTGGCAGAAAGTGAAACCAGATTACTTGGAAAACCCACAACTGGATAATTAGTCTCTGAATTAATCCAGTTCAGTTGCCTAAATATAACTTTACACAACGTGTAGTTTTTTTGTAGTTCTGGTTAATAATCATCACAACCTTCAGGAAGTCCGGTTTATGTAAAGCAATATTTGTACTATAAACCAATGATCTCCAAACTTTTTTGATTACTCTTATTAACAAGAAAGTTTTGAAAATGTATCCTCAATATTTGTTTATGTATAGATTATATATGCTACTGTGTTAATGTGCTGTGTACCTTATAAATCACACAAAATACAAATTATAATGAAATAAATGATATTTTACATTTTAATGATACAAAACTGTTTCTGTTACTAATCAGTATTTTTCAGTGAAAGCAATGTGAATTTCTGTCTGGATTTAATGTTTCAGCAGGAGTAATTTTTTCCATTGATATTTACTAGTGCAAAAACTAGTAAAAGGTATGATTTCAGCTAAACAGAATGTTATTTACGTCTATTCTTTACTTGTGTTTTTTGATTAGTGGATGGTATCACATCATAACTTCCTCTTTGTTCATGTTCATGTATTTTAGTTGGATTTTTGTCTGAGTGTGAAGTAGGAAAAAGGCCTGTTTTGATGAACTGTAGAGTGTAGGGACGGGAGTCAATGGTAATAAGGCTGGAAAGATGAGTTGGTACAGGGTTGTGAAGGACCTTAACTGTCAAAGAGATTGGCTTGTATTTGGTCTTGCAGTGAACAAGTTAACAGAGGAAGGAAAGAAGGAATTAAGCAGTTATAAGCCTGCTATGTACCAGGCACTGTGCTGAGGGCTTTATAAGTATTATCTCCTTTGATTCTCACAATTCTATGAGGTAGGTGCTGTTATTTTCAACATCTTTTTACAGATGAGACTCCAGGCCCAACTCTATATCCATTGCATCATCTAGCTGCTAGAGTTTGGGGAGGGAGAGGGAGCCCCCGAAGTGTTGACATGGTCAGATCTGCAGTTCGGGAAAATCACTTTGGCAGGTGTGGAAGATGAATTAGAGTGGGGACTTGAGGCCAGGAGGCCAATTAGTAAGACTTTGCTCAATTGGGGATCTGGGGTGGGGAGGACTAAGTATGCTGGTGGGGGAAAGGGGAAGGAGGGAATGAATTGGAAGAGTGGTAGGGGGATGATGTACTAAGGTAGGTGTGTGATTGGCTATCAGGGAGAATGGGGATATGACACCTCACCAGCATACCATTAGTTATGCACTTTATGGGTCTGTTCTGACTTCCTGTGGCCCCTACTTGGGAGACACTGGTCTAGACCAGGCGTGTGAGATTAAATAGAAATAGGGGCCACTAAACCATACTAAGCATCCTTGCTGACTGCATATTTGTAATGTAGTCTATGTTTTATTGTATTTTTATATTTCTCAGTTACATTTTGATCTGGTGGGTACACTGTGCCTTTGAGACTTCTGGTCTAGGCAGTTTGTCTACATTTTAAAAATAAATGATCTTCCTTTTTGACATATCTTTTAAAAAGTATTTTAAGAATTTGGGATTATTGTTCTAAATCTTAAGTGTTAACAGACCAAGATGGCCCTAGTAGAAAATAAGCTTTGTTTTCTACTTTTTAGTACAAAAGATGATAAGGAAATGTAGTGCGATTAGTGTTTTTGTTACTAATAAGTTAGAAGGTACATATAAGTTATAAAGTAAGCTGTGTCTGTGATAGTAGAAGAGTATTCAAAAGCCTCCCATTTGAATACTTTATCCTTTTTTGCAAAACAAATGCGATTGGTTGGTTGAAGATCAATATAAAACTCTTTTCTTTTTAATTTAGATTGGATGTACTTCCAAGAGTTACGTGTCCAAACCATCCAGATGCTATTTTGGTGGAAGACTACCGAGCTGGGGACATGATCTGCCCTGAGTGCGGCCTGGTTGTTGGTGAGTGGTGTTTCCTGAGGTTCTTATGAAGACAGTGTGTAAAAATAATTATTCCTATGATGGAGAGCAGAGGTGTCAAAGAGAGGCCCAGACCAGCTTAAAATGTAATCGGGAAATGTTTAACGAACTAAATAAAAATATAGTGCATGTCTAATGTGCATTGGTAGTTTTCTAAGTCAGTGCAGCCAGCAAGATCCCTTTCTATCTGAGCATGGCACCACTAAGATAAATGAGATAAAGAATGAACATTTTCTTGGTGTTAGCATTTCATTTCATCCAGCAAGGATACTTGAAGCAGGATGGTGCAAATGTATTGTCTCTTATCAGTCATATGGAGAACATGTAACTGACTTGGCCTTGGAATTCACACTAAAAGCTAGTAGTGAAAAGACTTTGTAACCAATCTCAGGTTCTGTAGAGTTTCCTAGAATTAAAGTAATG